CTAACAAAAAAAAAAAAAAGTGAATAAGTAACACCAAAGCAGAAGRGAGATGATTTTTGTCTCTGCAGTTCGAGCCCTGCAGTATTTCCTCCYCTTCAGCTAACCAGTTTTTCACTGCACCTGAGCACAGGAAAGTCSTGTTTACTCCCTGCTGCAAACAGGCAAATTTTCTGCCAGCAAAACCTCCTTTTTTTTGAGTCACTGTGTGTTTGCTRTTTTYTTTYTTTTGCTTTTSTYACACATCTGAGTACTAAAGGCAAACACTGGTATTCATTAAGCTCCTTCTCCCTTTGACAAGCTTTCTGAGTGAACTTAAGAGTAGTGAACATAAATATTGAAATGACACAAAAATTCTTAAAGTTGCTTTTATGTCAGACATTGGGAAAAAAAATCCCTAAGATATAAGAAGAAAAGTGTTAAGCAACTTAACTGGCTAAACAGGTAAACTGTTTGCAGAGACATTTGAAGGTAGGGGAACCAAAACAACAAATGGACTAAAATATTTTCCATTTACTAAATTCAACCACCAGTTTCTCCAGCGTTCTAGCAGGATGAACTCTGACTTCATCTAGTACTTCAAAAATACAGCCAGTAATATAGCTCAAAGTCCCAAAATCTGTGTCATTTCATCGCAAAATGCAGTGCAGTCATATTTCCTTAGAAAGTCAGACTAGGGTCACACCACTGCAGATTTTTGTTTGTTGATTTGGTTTGCTTTATGGATTTTTTTTTTAAGTAGTATTGGCATGAATCCTTTATACAAGTTGTAGTTTGTAAAAATATATATCTTGCTATTAAATACTTTTTACTCCCATATTACTCTCAAATGAACTTTTTTTTTTTACAACTGACATTGAAATAGTGCAAACTATGAACTCAAACATTTTTATYAGCTTCTTATATGCAATAAAATTGCTTTTGCCAAATTTGTATGCAGCAGGAGCTCTTTTTGAAGGGCAAAATKTTTCTCTCTCTTTTGTAGCTGCTGCAGAGTTATACTTCACATCAATATTTTATACTTCACATTTTCTGCGATATGGGTGATTTTTACCCAGATAAAGCTTGAGATCACAAACTCCCAAATCAAGGACAACCCTCAGTAAATCAGATTTGCTCCACCTCAGATGTTGCTCAGCATCTCAACAGGGATAACACAGCAGTACAGGAAGCAGTAATGACTCAAGTTACCATGTTTGAATAGTGTACAACTGCAATTTGTAGACTATAGAGGCACAACTGCAAACATTTAAGAGTTTTATGTAAACCTAACATTTCTTACTGCTGCTTGTTCAGCACTGCATGCTCGCTCTCTGCAGTATTTCCCAACTGTCTTCCTTGAGCAGGCACAAATTAGTCAGATATTAGGCATATACCTCTACAGTTTTCTTTTACACACAAGTCTGCAAAACCAGGATTTCCTTAAACCTTTGTCCCATGGCAAAGAATGAAGGGGAAAACTTCTGATTGACATTACTTTTCCTTCTCTTTATTTTCATCCACTTTGCTTCCCAGGAGAAGACACAATTATTATCTGAGATCTTTGTCAGCAGAGCACTCAGTGGATACATTATTAGATGTCCATCTCACAGAATTTGTGTGCTGTCACCTTCCTTATCACACCAACAGAAGGGGAAGGTCCCACAGCACGGCTGCAGCCACGGCTTCCACACCACGTTGGACACAGAGAGCTGCTCYGGGACTGGAGTCAGTGTCCTGCCATGCTCCTCTATGGCTCTGCCAATCCTCCTTATGACAGAGTCAAAGAGGGGCTCTGTGTCAGCTGAGAGGGGTTTGGCTTCTGAAGGGTCTTGGGAGAGCTCAAACAGCAGAGGAGGGTCATGGTGGGTCACWCCTTCCCCAAAGCACGGGCAAATTCCTTTTCCATAGCAAGCTCCTGCYCCAGGTGGATGAAAGAYTGGRGTCACATAATGAGCCTTCCAAACWGCYCCACCTGGCAAGAGAGAAAACTGATGGCACAACTGCAAGGCCATAGAGAAAAATTCCTTGAAGCAATAGTAGGTCAGCTATTTACTCAGGASACATCTTCTCACACACCCTGGTACCTCCACCACCACAAATCAGATTTTCTGTGTAGACTACTGGCTTTGAAGATGGAAACCACTAGGAATATGAGAAAACTGCACTAAATTTCCAGTGTAGTAGTGTAGAGCCTGTATTTCTCACCCCACTTCCTATAATGCCCTCTGTTACTCACAAAAATGTTTTTGCTCTAAGATATGTCTGCTAGCCAGAATGTGTCATGCACAATAATTTCAAGAATCTCAGACACCAGTRCTGAAAAACACCAGTCAGGCAAGAAACTTGACAACTACCAAGAGGAAAACACTCATGTTTTGCAGTTACCATGGAACAAACATTTATACTTACTGTCCTTCTGATGCCACCGCACTGCGTGCAAGTAGGACCCACAATAGTGAAACAGAAACTCGTGCTCTGACTTCTGAGCTCTTCCTTGCAGTAAAGGCATCAAGTTTCGCCCATCAATCACCCTAATGTAATGGAGAAAAACCTTGTCAGGCAGGGGCCAACCTGACAGTGAACTGCATTTGTAGCGCTGCCTTTGTAGCACTGGCTGCATCAGTGCATGAGACAGCTCACAGAATAATCTGCTCATAGATTTAGAGCAGCCAGCAGACTGCCAAGCAAATATTTACATACCTAGGATTTTTTTTAGCTGTTTTTAGGCTTTTCTGTTTGTTTTTAATATATCATATCTGGTTCAATTCATTCCATCTAGCAATAAATAAGCAATATTTAGAGCTTGGTCTAGCAGAAAACAAGTAATTTATTCATTAAATCAATACTGATAATTGGAACATTTTGCAACTTTCAAAGGAACCTAAAGAAATCCCTTGGACAAGCAGAGGTTTACCAAACTTATGAGGTATCTGTAAGGGCCTGTAAGTCAATTCAGTTGATGCCAAAACAACCTCAGCCACCGATTTTTTCCTGAATAAGGCTGAGCCTGTGAAAGTGGCACCTGGTCTTTGGAATGAATTGCCATTCTGGCCCCATGAACTTCTGTGGCATATCTGTGAGTTTGCTACCTGGTTTGAAATCTCTGGCTAGGATTGAGGCAAAACAAGTTATGGGATCTCTGAGAATGATAAGACACAGTCAATTTTTAGTATTGATCTCTCCTATCAATCCCTCCAGTGGTAAACATCTCCATACCTGTCCTGTGGCAATGTTCCTCCAGCCAGATGAACAAYYGTGGGATARATATCCATAAGGCTCGTAGGTTCATCAATAACTGCGCCTGCAGGGATCACTCCTGGCCACATAAACACTCCTGGCACACGGATCCCTCCTTCCCAGCCTCCCATGCCTTTTCCACCTGCAGTAAAATGAATCAATATATGGAACTCAGAGGAAAAAAAAAATGGATATTATGTCAATCACTGATTTTGGGTGGAATGTAAAAGYATACAAGGAATAAATTTTTGCTGCAAGTCATGACACAACATGGCCCTGCTCTATTCTGTATTTATTTGTTGGGCATCAATGAGTTCTGGAACAKAACAAGAAAAAAGAACAAGCAAATCAGGAAATAGTCCTTTTAGGGAAAGGAGGAGAGAAGGGGAAGAGGAAGGGGTAATTCAACATAGTGAACTGTCACATTTTTTTCAGCACCTTTCACCTGACAACAAGACAATTTACAGGTAAAGCTGGACATCATTTTTGTCAAAATGATGTATAATAAAGCTTGCACATTACTGA